AGCTGATTAAAAGTATTACATTTCATCTGGAATTCATGAATGCTTCAACATATAAAATCTGATCAATATAATAAACCATATTAACACAATGAAGGGGAAAACCACACAATCATCTTGATTGATGCAGAAAAGGCATTTAACAAAATTCAACACCATTTCATCATTTAAAAACACACTCAAAAGAACTAAGAATTGTAGAAAGCTACCTTAACATATAAAAATAAGCTATGGAAAATCTATAGCAAACATTATACTCAATGATGAAAGATTATAAAAGTTTATATCAGGAAAAAGGTCAGGTTGTCTGTACTGCTACCTCTATTCAACAGAGTATTAGCTAGAGCAATTAGGCAAGAAAAAAAGAAAAGAAAAAGAAAAAGAAGGATTGAAATTCTGATATAAGCTACACTATGAATAAACCTTGAAGACATCTTGTGAGTGAAATAAGCCAGAAACAAAGGCACAGACAGAGTGTCTTTCCACTTACATAAATAATTCTACAGTAGTGGGAGTAACCTCATCACATAAAAAGACTTCCAAACACTAACAGTTTCGTAAGAAATCCTCAAGATCAATTTCTCTTTAAATTGGCCATATTTTAAAAGCATATGCACAATAAAGAATTCTTCAGAAATGTTTATAAATAAGAGCCTGAAAAAAGAAAAGGTTTATCAAAAATCTAAATTAACTATGTAATATATTTAACTCTCACTATTCTGTTACTAAATATATTTTATATAAATGAATTTGGGAAAGTGCAGATAGAAATTGTAAAATTTAATAGAACAATTTATACAAATCAGTTAAAATGCACTCAAAGAAAATATAAATAATTTATTTCACTTAAGTATTAAATTATTTTTAATAAAAATTTTAAAATATGTTTTAGTTCTTAATTTCAAGGATAAAGAAATTCCTTATAACATTAAAAAATTAACAGCCATGTTTCACTGACCTTAATTTTAAGACAACATCAAAATCAACTGCCTGAAGTTTCTGACGTAGCCATAAGGGAAAAACAATGACGTGTGTGTGGCATGTATAATGTGTGGGTGTGCGTGTGTGGTATGTGGTGTGTGTGGGTATGTGGTGTGTGTGTGGTATGTGGTGTGTGTGTGTGTGTGTGTAGTGTGGAGGGGTGTGGCATCTGGGTGTGTGACACATGTGTATGTGTGGGTGTGTGGCCAATATACCCTAAGACATAAACGATGCTGGAAATTATTTTTAATAGTGTCTTACATTTACTTGCCCTCAAAACATCATCATAATTTTAATAACACGGCTTTCTATAAAACATAAATATAACTTAGTCATCTGTACGGTGAGCTGAGAATGAAAGCCATAAATAATACAAAGATGATCTAATAATTTCACACTAGATTTGATCTTTACATAAAATCATCTTAGAGAGATTTTTCCTACCAAATATAAAAATGGAAAGTCTTAATTAGTGTAAGTGAAATTCCAAATGTTGGTCTAGCTCATCCAACTCAGTTGAGATAGCCACAAATCATATTTGATTCTCACTATTTTTAAATGAGGCAGGTTAATCAGAAAATGCTTTTAATTTTACGGAAAACATAGTAAAATAATTGTGAACAAAGGGAATTTGACATTATTTTAATACTTATCTTCTCTATAGAAAACCTTAAACTTACCCCTTTTTGTAGATTAATATGGCCATCTAGAGGAGAAAACATGATCAACAAACATACCATCACATTTTTTGCTTTTTCCTAGACTATCTGTATTTCAGGCTTATAACATAATAGGAGACTCAATTAAAGGGGATCATCTTGTATGAAATAGACTTAGGGAGGACAATGAAATAGCAAAAGACAAATAACATAAATTTTGTGGTGGAACTAACCAATAGTTTTTAATAAACTGCCATGTGACTTTACGTTAAAATTACTTATCTAAGATCACTTTTCATTTTTAAAAGTTTTTATTAGTACCTGTTTGCAGTATGTAATGATTACATTCACGATGGGGAGCTGGTACATGCACGTAACACATCTTCATTCTTTCTATGTCCCCTTGCTCTCTCCCTGTTGTGTTGTTTGTTTGTTTTTTTGGTACCAGGGATTGCACTCGGGTCCTTGAGCTTGCGCAGCAGGAGGCGAAACCACTGGGCTAAATCCCCAGCCTGTTTCTTATTATCTTTTATTTTGCTCTTTAATTTATTTATACTTTGAGTTTCTCACATAGGAGAAACCATGCGATATTTAAGCTTGTGTTCCTGATATAGTTCACTTAATATTATGGTCTCAAGGTGCATCCACTTTTCTACACATGAAAGTTTACCCTTCCTTAGGGCACCGTAGCGCTCCATTAGGTATAAATAACACCAATGAAAGTGATCATCTGTTGATGGACATACAGCCCATCCCGAGATTTAGCTATTGTGAATCCTGCCGGTAGACACAGGAGTGTGCATGTATCACTGTGCCATGAGGTCTATAACTCTTTAGGGAAGATACTTAGAAGGGGAATAGCTGGGTCAAATGGGATTCCTACTTTTAGTCTGGGGACTCTCCATACCGATTTACACAGTGGCTGCACTGATTCACACTCCCAGCAACAGTGAAGAAGGGCTCCTCTTCCCCTGGAAGCCTTGCCAGCATTTTCATTCCTGTAACACGAGGACAATCATGCTTCCCACAGTGAACTGCAGGGAGATGAACTGCAACAGCACGCACAGAAGGTTCCACAGGTGCCAGCTCTTCCCCCCAGTCAGTTCTCTTGCACCCGCTCCTCGTCCCAGTTCAGCCCTCCCTGACCCAGAGACTCTAGCGGGCTTGTTTCTAACAGTGTCCACCCCAAGCTTTTCCACCAGAGTTTGTTAGGGCATCGAAAGTGGGCTACAGCTCCCTCGTTAGCACTAATGAAGCAGTGCTACGTCACGTAAAAGATGTAATTTTAAAATGTTTTCCTCCACCCTGTGATTCTCTCTAGTTACTACCTCAGCCCACACGAGTCAAATCTAACCTTTTACACCTGTGTGATGCCCTGTGCAGAAATAGGGCCGCAGCAGGAAGGAGCCTCCCACTCTATTCAGGCCTCCCTGGGCTTTGGCAAATAAGCCAGGTCCTGCCCAGAGCACTGCAGCAGGAGTCCTCTCGGGTGCCCCACCAAGCAGTGAGCAGTGCTTCTGCAAGGACAGCTCTGCGGCTCTGCGACCCCTGGGACACCTGGGGTAGAGGGGGAAAGGGGAAGCATTGGGCTACAAACCCCTCCACTTATTTCTGGCCCCTCTCCATCCTGAGTCCCGGTGAGAGCACTTTAACAAAGACGATAATCCAGCACTTCAAACTCAGCCCAGCCAAAGCTAAATCCTCTTTCCCACAGGCTTACCTCTCTGGTGCTCTTTTACCTGAGCATCCTAATTCTTCACCCACTGCACACATTCAGTCATTCTTCAAGATAGAGCAAATCCACCCCACAGCTACCTATAACTCTGTCACTAAATTCATCATTGAACATTTTACTACCTGATACTTTTTGCCTCCTGCAGCTCCAATCTACTCTCGGTGTTTTATCAAATCATGCAGGAAAAAAATGTGTGGGACGTGCAGGAGGGTCCTAAACTTCCGGGTAAAATGAAGTGAGGTGACTCTCAGAGAGGTGCACCAGTTCCAAAGGTGAGGACAGGACAGAAAAGCCCCAAAGGCGGTGCCTCTCTCCCACCAATCTTCCCGTAGACCACGGAGCCCATGCTAGGCTAAAAGGACTGGAAGGGAAAGCAATGAAGACAGCAGGGAGGATCAGAGTGTGAGGGTGAAGGGGCGCCAGGAAAAGCCTCGACTGTCAGAGGAAAGGGAAGTGCTAGGGCCACAGGTGCCAGATGCCCATGCCAGCTGCAAGCTTGCCCATGACAACCTGACACCATCCCTTCGCTGTCTTCGCTGCCCTCATGCTCAGCAGCTTCCCACAGTCACTTCCCTATCAGGAGGCAGACCAGACCCTCGCTAAAAATCGTGCCACATCTGTCATCTGCTTTTCCTGCGGCCCATCCCAGGCTGCTATTACCCACGTTTCATGCACAATGAAACAGCAAAACCCAACAAACCGCAGCCCGAGGAAGGAAATATGTTAAGACAGTGCTGGAATGTCAGCAAGGGTCAAATTCCGCATCTTTGCTCTTGCTGCTCTACTATTCATGTGGTTAGAGGTGCAGGGAAATCAGGCGCGGCTCCACTGCTCTGCACTATTTACTTATCTCTGAAAGCACACGTCTTGTTTTCCTTGTACTAAAAAGGCACTTTTGAGCAGGGCATCCATGTCATGTAGTTTTTATTTCTTCTTTCGCAGCTCATGATTCTTCTAGATGCTAATTTGATTAACGCATTACTATACTGTGTACTAACAGAAGTAAAAATGAGGCGTACCAATCTGTAGTCAGCATCGAGTCACCCCCCCCTCCGCAAAATTATTTGCCCCCTTTGACAACTTGTGTCCTGAGGCAAGACTTTAAACATAAATCACAGCTACAAAATCAATAATTTGTGCTTGTATAAATGAGGAATGATATTTAGGATGTACTGGCTTTTTCTTCACATCTGGGTATAAAGATAAAACCGCTATGAAGGTCATATTCTACAAAGCAAGTGAGCAACGTGTTTAACGTACAAATAAATACGCTCCAGCCGTGGAAACCCTTATTCATATTTCGGAGAGAGCTAAGTACCCGTAATAGAGGTCTGGTCATCACACAGGCTGTGTGCTCAAGTCCGTGTCAACACAATTAGAGACAAGATAGTAATCCTTGAAATTACTGAAATCCGAGAACAGTTCCCTAAATTGTTTGGAGCACACTGTGATACCGCACCAGTTTTCCATCAGGCCGTCCCAGACTGTCTCTCCCGCAGGGACAGTCAGGCCTCCGACTCCGCGGAAGCCGCTTGAACTGCGAGGGCTCCAGGCCACCTGCCCGGGCTGCGGCCCGAGGGGCAGCAGCGCGTGAGCTCCAGCAAGCGCGGCCGGAAGAGGGCTCTTACCTCCGTCCACCGACGCCTCGCTGCTGTACCCGTCCTGCTCCGCACACAGCGGGCTGTACTTCTGCCTGGTTTCCCAAGCGTAGCTCTGCGGCCTGGAGCCCCCCGGGGCGAGGCCAGAATTGCGCCTTCTGGACAAGGCCTCGTGATATTTACCCAGCGCTTCATCTTCGCTCTCTGAGGAGGAGCCGGGCCCACCTCCGGCCACGTAGTTGTCTGTTTGGGACGACAGGGAGAGGAAATGACCGTTGCACAGCGCTGAAGTACGGTGCTAGAGTTACACACACACAAGCTACGCACTTACGTAGGTCAGCACACAGGGAGGAGCCAATTGAGATGAAATAATCCTCGAAATCACCGAAATCCTTAAAAGCCCCTTAAGTTGACTTCAAAGCCTAGTATAGTATGTATTTGACACATACATACGCACACAGAAGCTGAATTTTCTAGAGAAATAGAATCTTTTCATGCAAGGAGTACAAGCTTGAGATTTTGTTTTAATACAAAAAAATCAATGTATATACATTAATTATTTAAAAAATCCTATGTCACAGGATTTTTTAAAATCTTGTTACATATAAGGAAATTACAGTGCTTACCACTTTATACAATTTTTTAAAGTTGTAAGTACTGCCAGTACCTGATTCAAATAATTCATGTTACAAGATACATTTTTTAATTTTCACTTTGGCTAGTATTTTCAAAACTGGGAATGCTCAGTTCGAACAGTGAAACAGAAAACTGGGCTGACATAACCGCTGGTGGAACTATATATGTACAACTTCTGTGAAGAACAAGATCGCAAAACATACACAACTTTGAAATCAGTAAAATCTTGGATCCATTTCTAGTATTCAGCCTCAGGAAATAATTGGCAGGTGAACAAAGAAATATGTTTGAGACAATTTACCCCATTATATATAGAAAAAAACCAAAATACATAACAAATATGTGCATCACTAGGCCCCAGTTAAATAAATTCTAATCTATGCAATGACTGAGAGTCCCTAGAATGACGCCCTCACAAGCACAGAACGAATAGTTACAACATCGTGTTGCACGAAGAGAGAACTTAGGAAACAGAAGGTGTAACTGAGCTCCAGTTGAAGTATACCACACACGAAGACGTGCAGTGTGTGTGTGCACACGCAAAACGCCAGGAAGGGTGCGTGCCAGACTGCTAACACGCAGTACCTGTCAAAGGTGAGATTGGTGGGAAAATTTTACTTAAAAATAAGTAAATTTCCAACAAATTTTCAAAACGTATAAAATGTAGAGCTTTGCCCTCAGAAATTCCCTGGGCAGCGCTGAGAAGGAGGCAGAGGTGGTCTGGACCCAAGGCTGCCACGCCCAGTTCCGAGTTCCCTGCGTGCGAGGTGCGAGTGCTTTGTCAGACACTAGGGCCCGCGGGCTTGGGCAGCGAGGCGCCTGCCGGCCCCTTCCGGAGGGCGCGGCTGTGGGGTGACACTGCACCAAGGACACCAGTTACGCGGCAAGCGTGCACTCGGCAGCCAGGAGGAGTGGGAGGACGGTCTGCCAGCAGCCCCAGTGCTCTGGGAGGCTGAGGCAGGAGGACCACAAGTCTAAGCCCAGCCTGGACAGCTTAGAGACTTAAAGGGACCCTGCTTTAAAATAAATTTTTAAAAAATGAATGTGACTGTTGTGTATGCCAAATAAGTACTAATAAAATATTTTTAATTTAAAAAGTTTAAAAAGGGCTGAGGATACAGGTCAGGGTGAAGGCTCTGAACTCAATCCCCAGTACAAAAAAAAAAGAGAGAGAGAGAAAGAAGCAATAGGTAAGGAAACTTTCTCTTTTTTCTCTACCTCATAGCTTTACACTAGAACCTAGAATACACAGACTAAACGCAGGGCTAAGCTGTGGGTCAGAACATCCTCAGGATGCCCTTCGGGATGGAGCATGTCTCAGTGTGGCACTGACATATTTTCAAGCGCCCAGGAGGTGGCTTCTTTCAGTACCAGTGTGCTGTTTAACCAATCAATTGCCGGTGTCTAGCCTGTTATTTTCTGAATAAAATAATATGCACACTATTTTTACTCTTACATACTCTACTTTTATTCTTATTTGTTTACTTTTCCTATTTCCAGTAATAAGGCTACCAGAACTAAACCTGGGCTACTAAAAACCACTCAATCTGACATTCAAAAACTGCCATAAGAATAGATTCTAAAATGGATGTGTTTTTGCAGAATTGCCATTCTTTTTTTTTTTTTTTTTTTTGGTACTATGGATTGAACCCGGGACCTTGCACTTTCGAGGCAGGCACCTGAACCACTGAGCTAAATCCCCGGCCCTACCATTCCTTTTTAATTAGCCATTCATCCTAACAGCCTCTCCTGTGCCACTTAAAAACTATTTATATGATCAGATCAATAAGTAGCAAAGCCTATTATATGAGTCTGTAGTAGAACTGGAAAAAGTTTACCTGGTTTCTATAGGTACTCAGTTATTTATTTATTTATTTAGAGGCAGGGTCTCACTTTGTAGTTCAGGCTGGCCCTAAACTCACTATGTATCCCAGGCTGGCCTTGAACTCATGGTGATCCTCCTGCCTCAGCCTCCCGAGAGTGCTAGGATTAGAGGCATGTGCTACCACGCCCGGCTTCGGATTTTTTTATTTTATAAGAACCTGAAATTACAGAAAAATTCCACATATATATTTTATAAATAGAAGCCAGTGTACCTTTAGCCTTGCAATCATATCAGACATAAATAAAAATGACTAAGGATCATCCGAAGTAATTCCTAGCAGTATGAACTACAATAATGTATGCAAAATTATAATACTGTGGTTGAATACTATAAATGCTTATTCAGAATCTTAATTCTATATTTTAAAACTCATGAATAATAATACGCTATTCATGTATAATCATTTTGAACCACAAGAGTCACATAAAAGTTTTAATGTGTGGTTAAATGAATAAAGATATATCCTGAAGCACGTTATTAAATAAGATTTACTGCTCTCAAGGAAAAATACAAAACATTTCCTATAGATTTGTATTACGGCAGATTTGAAGACAATGTTACATAAAGGATTTAGAAGTTAGTTATAAAGATGCAAAATTTTAAATGCAAGTATATAGCATACCAAACAAACTCAGCTAAAGTATGCACACAACCTAAGAAAACCATGGAGTTTCTGGTTGTAAAATAAATACTCGTTAAGAAAAATCATGGATGCTAAAAAATTAGCCAAACAATGCAAAGAGCCGGAGCAAAACTGAGTGATACCTAAATAATGGTCCTGAAACTACTTGGAAAAAAGGCTGAATGGCTTTTAAATAGCTCCCAATATGATGATTCAAGAAAGTCTTAAATTAGATATAGAGATAAGGATAGGAAAGTTGAGAAAATTGGACTTTGTTTTCTTAATTCAAAAAAAAGAAAAAGAAAATTTAATCACTCAAACCAACACTACAAGGCCTCACCTTTTTCTGGTATTATCTTAGAATACTTTTCAACTTTACTCTTTGTTGGCCCTTTCTCGCCAGCACTGGCTTCTTTTTTGTTTGTCTGTTTGTCTCTTCTCACTGTGTGGGATGTTGTTGGATTCATCTGTCTGTTGACTTTTCCAGGAAACTCATCTTTAGAATTAATTGATGGCGCTGGGTATAGATCTTCTTTCATACTGGATTTCTGCAGCCTATTTCTCTTGCTTGTCAAAACATCTTTTGGCGAACATTCATTTCCTGAACACACACTCCCTTTAAATCCTTTACTTTTGATTTGTTTTTCAGCTTTCTTTAGATGATCAGAATGCCCCACATCAAGATTTTTATTTTCATTGAAATGCCCCATTTTCTCATGATCTCCTCCCACAAGCACGGGCTGAAATTCTATTTTATGATTATCTGTAGCAATGTATTTCTTTCCCTCATACAGTATGTTCATTCCATTGGAGGTATTCTCATTTCTTTTCATTCCCTGGTATCTTGCCTCCTGCACATCGTTTTTACCATGACTGGAGATTTCTAAACCAATTATTTTACATTTGTCAGGACTTTCAAGGTCATGACAAGCTGACCCAGCCCTTGGCTCCTGCTTGGTTCCTGATATCCCACTATTACTCCAGTGGCTTTTCAGAGAAGAATCACCAGCATTAGTGATTTCCCGGTATTCTGACAGAGTCTGTTGCCTATCATTCACGTGTGTAAGCAATCTTTCTTCCTGCAATCCTCCTTCTTGTTTCTGTGAAGCTGCAGCATTATAGCTATTTATTGGCTTTGCACTGTGTCCTCCGTTGGACTGCGTTTTCTGGTAAGCAGTGCTTTTGGAGACAACCGGTAACACGGCATCTTTTAACTCAGAAGTGTCCACAGCCTCTTCCGCTGCCACGCTTCCCTCTGGGAGAAGGCCACTTATCACACTCGACACCTGCTCAGCAACCGAGTCAGTCAAGGCATAGCCGGCCTCCCCAACAGCAGCGGTCAGGTCTTCGACAGCAGTGCTGATTGTGTCCACCAGGGAGGACACTGAAGGCAGATTCTGCTGAAAAGTTCTGAAAAATGCCATTTTCTCTTTCCTTGTTCCTAAAAGATGTGATAACTGAATTTTCTTTTCTCAAAATAGCGTTTACTTTGGAACCCAGATCTAACACTTACTTAAATGTTGCTACTCAATAGCTCAATACTAGTATTTCACACTGTGGCTTTTAATCTTTCTGTAAATAGCACATGTACTGAAAGAAGTACGTTGAAGTAAAGACTCTTCCGGAAAAAAAATTAAAAATCAAACCACTTGGCTTAAGTGTAATATTTTTCCCATTGCACAGCTATCGTAACAGCAGCAAGACAGCATTCTCCCCTCAAACACTACTGGTTTTTTATTCTATACCTGAAAGAAGAAGTATAAAAAGGATTTTTATTATGTACTTTTAGTTTACTTATTAATATTTGACATAAGGGAACGACCCTATTAAACTACCAACACCATTTCAAATGAAGGGAAACAGCTAAACAATCCTGCACAGAGGTAAAAATAGTGGGAAGCAGGTGTGCTGCTCTGCTGAGTGGCACATGCAGGCATTAAAGCAGCACATGCTCTCTTCTCTGATTTGATAATAACTACATGGTAAATATTGTTCCTATTTAATAAACATAAGAAAAACGAGACTCAGAAAAAAATGAGAAGCTCCTGAAGACCTTTTCAAGGGCTCCTGAAGGTCAACCTGGCTTTACAGTAAGAGGAAGGGGAGAGGCAACTTGGCCCCTGGCATTGCTCGCCAGAGCACACGGGTTTTCCGGAGGCCACGCAACAGGCGGGAGGCAGAAGGGGACACCAGCACCCTACGCTGCCTATCATCAGAGACTTGTAAAAAGATAAACAATGTCATGCTTCTCTCCAACTGTCCTTTTCTGTTTTAAAAAATACATAGTTTCTTAAATTTAAAAATGTTATATTCATACGTAATAGCCTTATTACTCTTTTAAAAATAAATTTTTAAAGTGTTTTAAAATTTTCTGTTATAACTTCTAATGCGGTACATATTAATAGCTATATCCCACATAGACAAAAGTGATTTTTAAGAGTGTAAAGAGGTAATTAGACCAAAGAAAAAGCAGGGATGCTGACTCCAAAGAATTACTGCAGGCTGCTGAAAGAGGGCCCTTCAGCTGTTCCATTGCACACAAATATCCACACGCCAGACTGGAGCTGAGCACGAGAAACAAGTCAGAACTCTACAAAGTACTGTCCTCCTGACAAGAGAGTCACAAAACATAACTTACAATAGGGTTTATAAGTGATGGGGCTGTCACCTTTTACATTCTCAGAAATAAGAAAACAGCATTTCTCCAATAAATGTACATAAACAAAAAGCAAGGGTTCTCTGCTACTATTCCTCAAAACTTTTCTAAATCAATACCTTGCTCCTGTAACTTTCAAATTATTTCTGCTACCATTTATATAAGTCAGACTTTGGAAATAGCAAATTAAAAACTCTTGCACTAATTAAAAACGAAAACTTCCAAGGAAATTTTATCTGTGTCAGAAAGAACAATATCATAGCTCTCATCTTTCCTAGTATTTGGTAATACTAAATAATATAATGCCTATAGTACCAAGGGAAGAGGTAGAACACTACTTTTTATAATTAGAATTTACAAGGGGTGATCAAAAATACAGTAAATGTTTAAATGTTTTGACATTTCTACTGTAAAAGATAATGCCATTAATCCCTCTCAAATTACTTCCCCTTAGGTCACCTGCATAGACCTCATCTTTCTTGCCATATTCTGAAGTGGTTTGGAAATCCTCTTTGGTGAAAATAGATGGTGAATGCTGCTGCTGAGCACCATCCACTGGAAAAGCAGCTCACATGGACACGTGTGATACTCTTCCACTTAGTCACCAGACCTGGTGCCAGGAAAGTAAACATCTTCTATCTATTCAGGACATCAGTGCAACTAAAACACTCGTGAAAAAGGACTTCCAGGCTGCTTCAGAAAGTGGCAAGAGTGACAGCACAGGTGTGCACAAATCAAGGGTGAGTGCTCTGAAGGGAATTAATGGCAATGTGTCTTTTACTGTAGCAATTTAAAAATCTAAACATTCACCATACGTTTTGATCACACCTCATATCTATTCACTAAGTGACTAGGGAAAACCTTCTTATCTAAGCAATAAAATTACCCACCGGCTGAGAATTAAACAGGCCACAGTAGGATGAGTACCGTCAGACACCCTGGGGGCACGGGCACAGCACACAGGGCAGTGCATTTGAGATATACAAGTACCAAGATACTCTCTTCTCCTACAGCACATCTGCTCCTGTTATGGTCTCAAATCATACTCATAAGTGAAGACTAATACCTATTCTGTGATTACAGACATGTCAATTTTATATAATATTTTAACACTGCATGAGCAACAGAGGACACCTGAACATAACTTATTTAATAGATCTGCTACTCTTACACAATAATGGCTCAAACATGAGTTTATTACATGTCAAATCCAATCTTTTATTGTATATATAAATAAATAGTACAGATAAAAAGGGAAGAAGCAATATGATACTTACACATTTTATCTTGTGAATTCTTCCTTGTATCATATCCTGATCCAAGATCTGGAAACCCGCCAACATTTTCAAAACAGAACTTCTTATTAATATAGAGAAAAAGGAGCAGCATCAAGATAATAAACACCCCAACAGCTGACAAAAATCCAACTGCCTCTGGAGATACTAGAGAAAAAAAAGTCACAGCTGTAAGCATTTATTATTCCTAAAGCTACAAATAAGAAGGAAACCCTCATATATAAGTTAAATTACTGCCTTATTTGAGTTACATTTTAAATTGTCATAGTTTAAAATACTTTATAAGAAAAACACTGAAGTTTAGGAACAGTTGTTCAATACATTCAACAGCATCCATTCAATTTTTCTAAGTTTCTTTGTGAATTATGTTGAAATAATTTTAGAAAAACTTTCTCCAAACTAGGCAGTTAATAAATACGTAATATATTGAAGAATATTACAAAAATTTTAGTGCAAGATTAGGAAAATATTTCTCACGTATGAGAATTATCAGATTCATGAGAATGTGTACTACCACGCTTCTCTCTGAAAGCTTTGCAGCCCCTTTCTTAGCAAATCAACACTGGACTCCCTACTGGTATTTAAATCTGCAGCCTCTCTTCAATAACTACGGCAGTCAGGTAGGTCTGCTCCACTGCCTCGGACTCAACAACATTCAGTACCACACTCCTTGTTTTGTTTTTGGTCATCCTTTTCCCCTTGCTTGGGATGGCCAACTCTTCTGCATTCCATTATCCCACTCATCCACTCATCAACAAACACTTCTGGAGCATGGCCATATACCAGGCATTGCTACATGCACAGCCCGTTTCCCTTGAACGGTGTGGCGCAGGCCCTTACTGTATGACACAGTGTCATAGAGCGTGTGTCTGGGGAACAGCAGAGACAACAGGAGCCAATGAACCCTTGATCCAGTGTTATAGCAGCAAATCAGCTTCTCTGAAAGTTACCATCTCCAAAACAGTATTTTAAGAACCAATGAGAATTAGATACGCTAACACTATTCCAGGCAGGAGAAACACTGTATGTGAAGTCCTAGAGCTGGGGGATCACTGTGTATCTTGGAAACTGAATGAAATTTGTTCTGATGAGCTACCAAATTCTCAAAAGAATTGGATCTCAAGAGAACACATGAGACCACCCAGGGAGATTTTACAGAGTGAGAACAAATACAATCCTCTCCAACTTCTCCAATCCCCATCAATCACTCTTTCCTGTCAACTCTCACACTATCTGTCACTACACAAGTCATCTGGAGTTAACAGGAACTAAAATTTTGTACACCCAGTGTCCCTCAAGTGTGAGTTGAGAATGGACCTGAGGTCTCAAATATCCCCACAGACTACAACCTACTCCATTCCATCAGCTAAGCAGCACCTCACATGTTGTCTCCTCCAAGATTCTTCCACAAGCAGAAGAGCCGTGAGAATTCACACTAATGCATTTGTTACAAAGGAAGTCACCAACTGGTCAACGAGTGCCTTGGTCTCCCGGCTCTTCATTATTTGCAGAAGCTGGGACGACGCTGCCGCGGTAGAAGATGGTGCAAAGATGCGGCTGATGTGAGGGAGAAGCGAAGAGAGCGTGGCGGTGGCGTGGGGTGGACGCCAGGCCGGGGCCGAGGGGCAGACCTTGTTACCAGAACGAGGAAGTTACATCTAGACACAGCCCTGTCTGCCTTGGTCTCCGGCTGGGGCACAGCCTGGGAAGAAAACAGTATTTCAACAAACAAGCCAAGGTATGTAACATAAAAACAGTGGAATGCGTGAACCTTGAAGGGACGAGGTAAAAATGAAAACAGAATCGCCACCAGCATTTCTAAGAGTTTCATAAGCAGGACAGAACCTGGTATGAAGATGCAAAAGAGAACAGTAATTCACAGTAGACAGCAAGTGGTACAGAGGTTTTCCTCCCAGCCCAGGCCCAAAACACACTCAGAAACTCAATGCCTTAAGTGGCTACACAGAACTAGATAGTATGCAGCCCGAAAACCTCACATTTCTTGAAAAACTAAGAAAACCGACCTCAAATTAAGAAAACCAGGAGCTGCTAATAAAAATAGTAATCCCAGCACTCTGGGAGGCTGAGGCAGGAGGACTGCACCATCGAGCCCAGCCTGGGCAGCTGAGTGACCTAGCAGGACCCTATTTCAAAACAAAATTTTTTTTAAGAGGGGCTGGACGTAGGTCAGTGTGAAGGCTCTGGGTTCAATCCCCAGTACCACACACACACACACACACACATACACACACACACAAACACACAGACATGTTTCAAAATATCTTAAAATTCACTTTAGAACCACCCTGAGAAAACATCAATGACACTCTTAAGTGCCACATATGAAAGTTTAAGTGACACTTTTAAAACTAAAGATATTCTAGCTGGGCGTGGTGGCGCACGACTGTGATTCCAGCACTCCGGAGGCTGAGCTAGGAGGAGTGGATCGAGTTCAAGGCCAGCCTGGGCTATAAGCAAGACTCTGTCTCAGAAAACAAACAAACGAACAAACACATAGATCTATGGAAAGGTGTTCCATAGAACAATAAGCTCACTCTATATGGCACTGTGTGATTTCCAAAACCTTCTTCAAAAGTAACAAAGGGCACAAGTTATAGTATTTCATCAGAAAACACAGAAAGTTCAGTTTGTCCAAGATGAATGATTATTTATGTTATGTACGCTAAACTGGTTTGGGTACTTATCTTTATAAATATTCAGAAATAAATATATGTACTTACAAAAAAATATTTTTTGTCATAATTCAACCTTCAATAATAATGGTAAGTAAAATTTATCTTAATTTCTACAGATAAGTCAGCTATTTAAAAAGGATAAAATTATAGTCTTATAAAAGTCAAAGCAAGAACAAACACATTTTGACTTTCAAAGAATAACAATTTGCTTAAATTCCACTTTACACTTTTTCATGAAAAATATGCCCCAGTAAAGATTTTAAGAAAAATGCCAGTATATATAAAGGGAAATAATTATATGTAATGGAACTATTTATCTACTAAACAAATATATTTTCAGTTTTTATTATGCCATAACCATACTCTAAATACAATTGATTTTTAATTTTAAAAAATTAGCTATAACTTTTAAAATAAATTTTGAGTCTACCCTCATTACTCACGATATTTTCAATGCAAAATTAAACAAAAAGTACCGATAGGCCTCATGTGAGTCTAACACAGAGAGAATAAAGAGCAGCACTCACACTCCGCCGACAGGAAGGGATGTGGATTCGCCCTGCTGCTGGGAAGCTTAGCCCTCCCACCCAGCCTTGTCAGGGATGTGTGAATAATTCATCTCGTAGATGCAATTCCACCTCCTGTCCAAAATGCAAACTAGGCAACAAGCCAGCTTTCATCTTAAGAGAAATGTTTCTTTTCTATTTTAAAAGGAGAAAATATTTTTGCATTTTCATCAGAAAACTTTTACAAAATTTTTTAACAGTTTGGCCACAAAGCAAATCATTGTCAGTGATTCCAAGAAATAATTTAAAAATGGGAAAGATTAATTTGGTTTGTGTAAATTTCCTTTTATGGTATCTCAATTACTTGCACAAAAAAAGTCTCCTTTAAAATTTTCACACAGTTTTATGATATAAATGATGCAAAACTGGGAAGGTGATGCATAATCAAAGAAAAGGATAGAATACATAGCTATTAACTCTGTATTTTATAAAACATTAGGAACTGCATTTACTAATAGAGCGGCACCTTGGCTCACGAACTTAATCTGTTTCATGATTTTAGGAAAGACAGCTGTGATTGTGTTTGTCGCCCAATGCGGAGTTTGTGAACAAAAGCAAAATTTTGTCAAACACTTTTGTTTGAGAACTGAATTGTTTGCAAACAGAAGCATTCATGAACTGAGGTAATACTGAAAAGAGTCATGACTGGGCCAGGATGTAGCTCAGTGGTGCCGCTCCGGCCTCACAAGCACAAGGTCTGGAGTTCAATCCCTGGTACCAACAAAATAAAATAAAGCAGAGATCAACTGACTGCTAAGTAACCTGGAGCGGCAACAGAGCAGAGGGTGTGGTGGATGCAGTGTAGACAATAGCGCTGCAGGAAAAGCCAGCCCCTCCAGGAGCAGGCTGCCCAGGCTCACGGAAGCTTCCACCTTGCTTCACAGACTGAGTTATAGGCCCTATAAGTATGATGAAATACATTGGAATTAATGCAAATATCATAAAAACAAAATGTAAATCAATTCTGAAAAAAAGTAGAAGAAAATCCAAACACTTTTAAAGTATGGAACAAAATTTCTAATATATTTAAACCAAATACTTAATATTCAGGCTTAATAATATATAATACATTTGTAATATATTGAAATACAAATAATATAAAATCTCTATCAAGCCTCTGGCAGAGATTTTTCTTCAAGGCAGTCTTAATTGAGGCTTCAAAATTGCAAACTTATTTTCCTGACAAAACTCCCTATAGCAAAGAAAAATCACACTTTTGAACAACAAAATTAGGGTTAACTGTCTCTTCAATATGTAAAACTTAGCTCAAAGTTATCTATGTCAAATGGCACAGGCAATTTCTATAGCCATTCTTTCATCTGCTTTACATTTTCAATGATTCGTTGCTCTTTCTTTTCACAGCTGAGCTACTATAAAAAAGATTTTGGAAATTCAACAGAACCTTCTAGTTAAAGTTAATCTGTGATGTCAACCACAGTTTTGGATATGCTCATTTTCAAAATTCTGACAAACAGAAAGCAATTTCTTTCACATCCCTTGGAGAGACACCATCTTCCTCCTAGAATTTACTGTTACACCAACTAGTTCTTTCTTGAAGTGATAAAAACACTCTTTGCTCATTCTGCAAACATTTCCCGCCAAGCCAGCAGTGTTTTCCAGGGATGCAGCCTTTGCTGAAACACAGAATGTTTGAGGCACATCCACCTCAGTAAAAGGCTCATCCACTTTGCCATCAGATAGTGTCTCTTATCCAGGAGACAAGCAGGCCACGTACACTTCAGTTAGTGACGACAGCAGCTGTCTCGGCTGTGTCTAGATGTCCCCCCAAAGCCTCATGCAGCCATAGGTGGGGCTTTGCGGAGGTGGCTGGATCTAGGGTGTGTGCTGCTGGGATCAAGGATGCTATGCTGGGATTGTTCACCGTGT